GCAGCTTGGCTAACGGGTAACCCTCCTTTCCTGGGTAACCCGCCTTCCTGGCTTGAATTGATCACGAAGGGCCCATCCAGCTCGTATTCAGTGCTTATTAGCCTCACTATAAGTGCGTACTTCAGCCACTACGGCGTGCTCGTAGTTATGGCTTAAGGCATTAACTCCCGACGGACTAGCTTTCAGAATCACACATCCTGGGAGTTTTCAGTACAGTCAGGGTCTCAAAAACCACTCAAGAATCCGACGACAAGGCAGCTGAGGCAAAAAAATGCACTTAATGACGGTTCATGGTCACCATGTTACATAGGGTTTTGGGTGTGTCCTGTGGCATTATCGACTATTCGCTATCCCAGAGTAACGCATAGGTCAACTTGCAATGCAAACCACAAGTGGGTTTAGTACGGTACTATTAAGTAGGTAATAAATAATAAACTGGATAGGAAACTCAACGGCAGATACTCGAGGTCGAAGCAGGTGACTCGGTCAAATATAACGCCTGGCTCTACAAAAGGGGATACGTGTGTTCGCAAGAGTTGGTCTATCGCGTGTACATGGGCAAATTTAAGAAAAAGGTTTGGCCCTCAGTTTCAAGGCCAAAATCAATAGTGGACTGAGCAAAAACGTCCAATTCATGTGGGCAAGGAAGAGACAATTAAAGGGCGTAAAGAAAAACATACAATTATGCCTGATACAATTTCTCTAGAGATAGATGTGGCGAATTTTCAGACTTGTTCAACAAAAGATAACAGGTAAAGTTCATGACGCCATTGAAATGGTTATCCCAGGCACGATAAAGACTCCGGTTGCAGTGCCTCTTTAACGTGATCGTTAAAGTTCTCTGGTGTATGTGAGACCGGAGAGCCGCCTCTCGTTAAGGCCTCGTATCTCGAGTCATATGCGGCGCGCGTCCACGCCCGTTCCCGTTCTTCTTGTCTTGATCTCAACTGCGTTGACGATATCGCCTTGCTAGCTTCAAGCTTTGCTGAATTACAGTCTATGATCTAGCGAGTTCGCTAAATTGGTCGGTTTGTCCATAAACGCTGGAAAGACCACAGTGTTTTCATGCAGCATCTCCGCCTAGGAGAAGGCAACTCTCAACTTAACGAAGTTTCAAATTCCTCGAGGCGAGGTGGCTGACGAATAGACAGAGTGATGATAACATTGTCTCCCGAATCTATGGTGCTTGGCCGGTTTTCTCAAGCCTTAGAAAAGGCCTATGGACCCCACGTGATGTCTCCATCGCCACGAAGGTTCGCGTGTACTGTGCATCGGTCCGGTCAGTCCTCTGTGATTTTGAGTGCTGGGCTGCGCGCTAAGAAGACGAGCGAAGACTGGAGGTACTTGACCACATCTTCTTGAGGACCATCATTCGAGTAAATTTTACCGACGTCGTCTCAGATGAGACAATCCGCACTGGCTGTGACAATATCGTGACGCTGTCTTAAGCGATTGAA